AAATACGGGCTCTTTTTTGGCGGGGACAAGGTAAGTCGCGACCAGTTGTGCTCGTCCCAGGTTCTGTCTCATGTCCGCCACAGAAGTAGAAACACAAAGAGAGGAATTGTTTTAAATAAATATATTAACAGAAAGCAGTAATACAAACATGTACAAATGAGTGTTACAGCAAGAATGTTCAGTCCGATTGTCAGAGCTGACTGCTAGAAATTTTCCTCTCTAAAAGGCAGTACCTGCTCCTATTTATACCTGGGAGAGTCCATGTGAGCATGGGTAAATTATCATAATGCATACCAATTCCCCTGCTTTTTTATTTCTGTGTTTTTATGTCCAAAGATTGGAAAATTATTTTGATACTATGTACCAAAATTGATTTCTTTTTCGATCTAAAATCTTTTATTTTAGAATGTCCCTCTAATCACCATCATATTTGATAATCTCTCTTTATCTAAGAATACAATGTAATGTCAGTAATTTTATAAAAGCGTTATTATCATTCCCAAAGCCATTTTGTATGTTGACCTCAGATAATCTGATCCTGGAACATCATGGTTATTCCTTGCTAATCAAAGGCTGTCATGTCCAATTTTATGCTTGGTTTTCTGTGACAATTATTAGAGCATAACATGTGTGATGATTCTTTTAATCAGCTGATCTCCCAATATTGTTCACTATTATTATTTTGTTCCCTGTTTTATTTTTCTAAAACTGATAACCAATTGTAGAAAGTTATTTACTCTCATTAACAATAAATGTTTCATTGATGTTTATTTAACCCGTTAATTATTGGAGGGTGAACCTTATTTGGGTATAGCACACACACACACACACACACACACACACACACACACACATCTATATATTTATATATGATGTTTAGAAAAGGGATCATATTTTATTATTAAAACAGAATACAAAAGTATCACAGCACCACGATTAAAAATAAAATTGTCGGCAAAATAGAACTAAGAAGTTGACAAGAAATATTATCAATGACTGACATTAAGAAAAACATATATATATTCATTTTAGCATAAATGAACCTTGAAGTCAATACCCAGCAGTGACAGTCTGTTACTTGCTTGAACGCAATAAAAATACTTTGTATATGGCTGAGTTGGGCATCAGTAACTTTGTCTCAAAATCATTGATAAATCCTTTGTCAGGTAGGATCCACCTTTTTGTGCCAGAATAGTTCCTAGTACTAACCTATGTATGTTCTACCTGCTGTTGGGCCTACCTTACCAGTTGGAGTTGATTGTCAACAAACACCTGAACTGAGAATACAAAATAAATAATTTGTTATATGAAATTTATTGTTGATGTGGAGATTTGAGTGGCTGATAAAATCAAATTCTAGTTTATGGCAGCTTATAATGAATCTTGTAAACCATTTACAATCGTTGGGTATGTCTAGAGAAAGATAGTCATTTCTCTCCAGGACAGCTCTTAAATTGAGTGTTACTTTTTACCTCAACTGACTGGCATCCAAGGTAAGAGAGCCTAGTCTGCTCTACTATTTAACCCATAGCTGGAGGAGGATCAATTCAAACCTTTTCCAACGGCATTAGTACAAAGTGAATGAGCAAACCAACTAAATCCAGTGACAGTGATGAACATTAAACCACCATCACATCATTCACTTCAGACTGTCCCTCACTTCTCTTTCCTAACTGTTCAATAAGAGTAGATAGGTACTACAATCGCCCAGTTCACACTCCTCACCAGTGTTTCAATCAGGAATAGATTTATTCCTTGTTTGCTCTTTAGTATTGGGTTTCCAATTCCTTCTAAATTCTTTCCCTGACAGTAGTCCCATGTATCTTAGTGGCTTCATCACCTTGTTTTGGGTGAATTGATTACAAGGACATATGGCATAGTGGATAAAGGTGTTAGTTAGATCCAGTGACAGGGTCCAAAGAGTGTGAGTTCAATACCCGGTTAAGGCAGTGGAGAACTTGGAGAGGGGAATTAACAGGAGATAACGGATATCTATTAAACATGGCATTAAACATAGCGACAAAGATGAGGACAATACTCCGAATAATGTAAATAATGTACATAATACCTCATCTCAGAAATATAGACAGATACTGAAGGGCCGAAACATTGTAATAAACATGGCGACAAAGATGAGGACAATAGTCCGAATAATGTAAATAGTGTACATAATACCTCATCTCAGAAATATAGACAGATACTGAAAGGCCGAAACGTTGTAATAAATATGGCAACAAAGATGAGGATGATAGTCCGAATAATACAAATAATGTAAATATTTTCAAGTTGTGTTTTTTCTTTCCAGAACATTCTTTGTAGCATTTTATATCTGGGTGGGGTGCTTGAAATTACAGAATTCAGAATGTGCAGTCATAATTCCATTTTCTTAAAACAGCACTTCTAAAATATCTTGGAAAATTACTTATAAGGAAAATAATCTCACGTTTCCTTGAGTGGAAGTGCAAGACTGTTTTCATCCTAACAGCAATTATCAGAATAAGCAAGAGAAACAGCTAACTGGCGATGAGGGAGGGGGCGAAGAATTATAAGTCATGTTTTTTTTTCTCTCAATAAAAATATCAAAATCATTGCAAACATTGTTGTAGTGAGGATCATACTCTTGAAGCATACAAAATGTTTTTGACTTAATGAGTGCATTGCTAAGGTGAACCTCTTCACCATTTGATGTAAAAATGCATTGCCAATGCGAACATGTTCACAATATGATGTAAAGAATGTGTCATCAAAACAAAACTGTTCACCGTCTGACAGTGAATACATTGCTAAGGCAAACCTGACCACTTACCTTATATATATATATATATATATATATATATATATAAAAGGTAAGTGAACATAGAAGTCAACACTTAGAGGCAACAGTCTGTTTCATGCTAGATGCAATCATCAGGTCACTGATTGCATCTAGCATGAAACAGCCTGTCACCTCTAAGTGTTGACTTCTATGTTCACTTTTATATTTACTCACGCTCTCTCTGATATTGCGCACTTTATCCCATAAATATACCACATCTTAAAACTATATTTCTTTTTATATATATATATATATATATATATATATATATAAAGAAATGGAAAAAGAATCCGACAATTCATTTTATTAAATACATTTTTATGTTTAAAATTCTTTTTATAGATACAAGTATTTAAAAATGCTCTGTTTATAATAAACAGTATTAAATAACCTTTACCGGCCTGAATCGAGAAATTTTTCATAAAAAATATTAGATCCCTGACAGGATTCAAACCTGCATCTATCAACCGACATTTGCGAGTGTAGGCACGTCAGCGTAAATGACAGTTCTGTATAGGATGCAGGTTCCAATCATTAAGGGGAATATTTTCTATCTTTTTTCTGACATTCAGGCCTCTAAATGTTATTTAATACTGTTTATTATAAACAGAACATTTACTTGTATCTTTAAAAAATGAACGTTAAACATAAAAAGCATCTTTTCATAAATGTATATATATATATATATATATATAACAAATCCTGTTGTTTATCCCATAGCTGGGGAAGGTGATAGATTTCTACATAACTAAATGTAATGAACCCAAATGGAATTTGAACTCGCCTCTATGATTTTTCATTCCAGGCCATTATTTATTACATCACCTGCACATCCACTATTTTAAGAAAATTGTAGACGGTATCCTCAAATACAAGTAGGCAGTTATGTATACATTTATAAGATCTCGGCCCAATCAACTACTCAAAATTTCACCAAATATCATATGTTTGAATATGTTATTTGGGCTGAAAAATTTTTCAGCATCTCCTCCTTGATAAATTAATAAATGTACATGAATGTTCTCTTTTGTGGAGGGAGTGTGTGTGTTTGTTTTTTTTTTTGTTTTTTTTTTTTTAAATACAAAAAAAACTCTTGATTCTTGTGAAAAATAGTATCTCTTCAGTTACCACCCTTAGGTGATCTCTTTTTCATTTTAGCTGATCTTTCTAGGGCTTTTCTTTTTATCCTTCTAGGTCGGTCGTTCTTGCAAAACAATTTACAATTGATCTGTTTTTAAACACTAGAATTTTTTTTGTTTTATTTATTTAACATTGTAAAATCAGTGTTTTAAACACATATATATATATATATATATATATATATATATATATATATATATATATATATATATAAACCTAGTGAGCCAGACAAACCTACCTAGGTTTCACCTAAACGGATCGTCAGGGAAAGTTTGGCTAACGAGGCAAAGAGAAACACATATTTATAGGTGATAGCTAAAATCATACCACGTGACAAAAACAAAAAAAAAAACAACCTAAGTGGGGGGGGGATAAATATTTATTCAACAAAAAAAAAAAAAAATCCTCAGTGGAAAGTCAATAACAGGAAAACGTCTAATTTAGTAGCCAAGATTTTTTATGTCTACATACATTGAGAATTTCAGTTTTAGAGTTTAATAGCTGGTTAGGTTGATCATATAAAGCTATGGCTAATTTCTCCTCAGCACATAATTTGCAAAATTTATGGCCTGCTTTATATTTTGGGCATTTTTTTTAATATAAATATATATATGTGTCTATTATTTGAATCTCACAATAGATCATTTGCCATGGGTGGAGATATTTTAAATAAGTCACTTACTGAATTTTTTATTTCTCAGTTGTTTTACAATTTTTTCATTTAGCATGAAGAAAAAATGACTAAAATTCCATCGGGTAAAAATCTTAAATTAGTCATGAGTGATCATCAGCTAAATTGCCTGCTTCATGAAAGCCTCACGTGCATGTTAAGTGTCACAAAATGGTTCAGTTAATGTCTCTTCCCACCCGAAAAGACACTGTTGCTAATTAAGTGCTACATTGCATCGCTGTTGCAGACTGTCAGTGATGTCTTTCTGAGAGAAAGAGGCATGTTTTTCTGCAACTGCTGACATGGGTTTGGCTGAAGGCAGAGACTCCAGTCTCATGAAGATTTTTCTTGCTTTCTTCCTTTTTTTTTTTTTGAATGCTTCTGACTTATATCCCCCTTTCTTCCTTTCTTTCCCTATCCCCCTTGCATACGTCCTCTTTTCCTTTATTTGATTTTGCGTGATCCACTTCTTCCACCCCTTTGCTAAATTCTTCTCTCCCCCAATATTTTCCACTTTCCACTAGTGTTCTTCTTTTTTTCCCATATGTTTTTTATTTTTTTTTCTTTTTCCCTGTTTATCTTTTTTTGGGTTTTGCTTTCTTCTTTTTCTTCCGCCCCCTTTGCTTTCTTCTTTTTCTTCCGCCCCCTTTGCTTTCTTCTTTTCTTCCGCCCCCCTTTGCTTTTTTATCTTTCTTTGATTTTCTTTCTTCCGCCCCTTTCTTCTTTCTTCTTTTTCTTCCCTTTTTGCTTTTCTTCTTTTTATTTCTTATTAAATTTCTTCCTCATTTATGTACCTCCACCCTCACTTTCTTCCTTGTTTATCCCCTTTCTTTTCTTCCCTAATTCCCTCAGCTTTCTTCCTCACTTACCCCCCCCACGTTGCTTTCTTCCTCAGCTTTCTATCCCCCCAGGCTTTCTCCCTTGCTCCCCCCCCTTTTTTTTTTGTTTTTCCCCCCCCCCCCCCTGCTTTTCTTCCCTTTTTATCCCCCCCTGAGTTTCTTCCACTTATTCCCTATTCCCCACAATCCCCCCTGAGCTTTCTTCCAATCCCCCCAGCTTTCTTCCATCTTATCCCCCTTCCATTATCTATCTTTCTTCCAATTATCCCCTCCCCAAATTTTCTTCCTCATTTCTGTTTGTCTTTCTGCAACTTGATTCAGCAGCGGAGCTTTCCTGCAAGATCCTCTGTTCCTGTATACAATCCTGTTAGCTGCTCCCTCCCTTTCCTACTGATAGTGACTGAATTCACCGAAGATGAAGGATTACCAGTCTTCGCAACATACAAGATTCACTTTACTGTTATCCAGTAAAGTACATTAGGCAAAAAGAGCTAAAATTATTTCGGTTGAAGGGACGATATTTCTGAAGACCTTTTTTTTTTTTTTAATTTATACTTCTCTTTGGTTATGAACTTCCAATCGAAATTTGAACATGAATTTTCCAAATTCTGAGCACTTTCAGCTTTCATTAGCCATTACAGAAGAATTATTTGTGGTCTGATAGTTTTGAATCTGTTGACATGCAATTCTTTTTCACTTTTCAAATGTTGTATCTTAAGATATATTCTCTTGGAATGTTTGAAAGAACTTTCATTATTGTATTCTTTAATTGATTCTGACAGATTAAAAAAGAATAATTGATTTAAAACTCCAAAATTCCATTGCAGAAATATTTATTTGCATACAGAAATATTTATTTTTCAACACAATCTCCTTTTATAAATGCATTTAATTCACTGGAAAATAGCTTTTCCAGATATCAAATATTATATAGTCAAAATTTCTGATTAAAATTTAGCTAATGTCCATATATCAGGCTACAAATTTATTGATTCAAACTTGTATAAAAATAAAAAAGGAACAAATAAGTGTTAGATAGTAAACAACAAAAAATAAATTTTTAGAAAAATTATTGAAAAAAAATTAATGTCAATGTTTCATGAAATCTAACATTGTGTTTCTTCAGGACATCAATCATGATTATCTTATTTTTCATCATGTGAATTGCCATGCTTTCTTAGGCAAGATAGTGGAGTAGTTACCTATTGCCTTCTCTATGGTTTCCTTTCCTATATTATACGTGAATTAGCATGCCTCCTTGGGAAAGAAAATTCCTATTGTTTTCTCCAAAGATTTTATTTTATCTGTGAATAGCCATATTTAATCTATAGCTGGGAGGGGAAGAATAGACACTGATGATTTGATTACAGTGGTGAAGATTTCTATGGAACCGGCCACACTTTTCAAAAGAATATATAAGAGAAAAATGCCCTTAGAAAAGGAATGAATCAATCTTGCAGCTATGAGTTAAATATCAAATCAAGTGTTTGCTTCTCTTGGTTTAATAAATGTAAAAATTGTTTAAAAGGTTTGTCGCTTCCAAGCAATTTTGGTTACGCTGTTAAAAATTTTCAAGGAGTATTTTTTTTTTTTTTTTCTTTTTTGTTACATGCTGCCTGAATGCTGCTATACAGTAAATTTCTGAAGAGTCTTGTAACCACCCTCCAAAAAAAAAGTAATGAGAACAATAGAAGAACAAATAAAACGGTAATACAAAGCACATGTAAAAAATTCAGTTTATTCACTTTCATTGATATTGTCACAAATTGACATTTTATTCTGTTTGTAATATTTTTATATATATATATATATATATATATATATATATATATATATATATATATATATATATTTTTATTTTTTTTTAAAAATTTTCCTTCGCTATGTAAGAGTTCTCAAGTTTTCAAAATAGGAGTGGAAAACTTCAATATAATTGATTAAAATTGAATTAAAGTATTGAAGCTCTGTAAATCATCCTTCGTTTAATCTTTTGACTCTCAATTTCTCAGGGATGAAACAGACATTGATACATAATTCAATTTTTTTTAATAATTATATTGAAGTTTTTGGATGAAAATGAAACTTTATGTAGCGAAAGGAATTATTTTAAAATAATTATAATTTACTCTACTTTTTATTGAGCACTGTTTAAAATAAAAAACGAAAATATTTTAAAGAACTCCAGATTATTTACCTAACATTGTTCTTTTTGTATTTTTCTATATATTTTTAATACACACACACACATATATATATTATATATATATATATATATATATATATATAAAATCACAAAACACAAAAGGCAAATGGAAGACCTGAAAAAAAGCCAGAATAGCCAAGAAAAAATGTGTGGACATTTATGATTTTTTTTTTTTTTACCTGTGTTTTTTGTCATTAGCAGTCAACTAAATATGGTGATTGTTATTCTAATTTATTATAATAATATTCTGCTCTAATTTGTATTGAGCATATCATTAAAAATAAATGCTACAAACTATATTTTTTACTCCATCTGTTCTCTTTTTGTGTGTGTATATATGATATATATATATATACACATATATATATATATATATATATATATATATATATTTATAGTTTTAAAAAAACTAGGTAATCCGTATGGGTAAACCTAAGGAGGATAAAATCCAGAGCAATATAATTTAAAAATAAAACAGACCACTTTAAGGTTCCATGTAATAAATTATTTCACCACAGCCCTTTTAAAGGACTGCGGATCATCAGACTTTACTTCAAACAAAAAATGAAATGAAAATTTACACATTTTGACGGGCCGTATTAAATATATGTAAATTAACAAAGTGAGGGGGGGAGAGAAGACATGAGTGAATTAGCAGATATTGACACATTTAAACGGTTAACTTGACGGAAGTTATATATTGGTATCGAAGGGGTAGAAAGAAAAAACCCATAGAATGAAAAAAGGGGAATTTGTTAAGAAAAGATATCACTCATTTTCTTTGTAAAAAAAGTCTAAAACAGATGCTGTTATTTTGCTTTACTTTGAAAGTGTTATTTTATATATATATATATATATATATATATATATATATATAAAAATAATAACTTGGATTATTTGCTGTATAATATATATAAAATTATTATAATATTAATAAATACCAATAAAATTGAAATAATCGTCATGAAAAATAGAAAATTGACTTGTGAAAGTTGTACACGGTTTTCCTATTTTAAAATTCTGATGAATCTTAAGTTAATGATTTCAGTAAACTCATAGCAAGTTCTATGAAAATAAAATATCCATAGAAATTCCCTTATCACATTGTTAAATATTTGGACTTAACAGCTTTAACAAAATATTACAATAATGATCATAAATATGAATTCTGGTTGTTAAGAAGTAAGGGGGTACAAATGAAATGATTTGAAATTGATAAGTTTTCCATTTCACTGAAACTACTTTTAAACATCTATCTTCCCTCTTTTCTTTCATTCATTTTCTCACTGAAACCAAGTAGTGTCTTTTCCCTTTTTCTCTACTTGATCAAAATGGAATAGTCCATTATTTATGAGGTGTTGGCAGGAGACTTTAAACACTTTCTTTTTTTTCTCTCGCTGAAACCTAGTGTCTTGCCCCTCTTTCTCTACGATCAAAACTGAATAGTCCATTATTTATGAAGTATTGGCAGGTTGTAACAGTCGTGAAAATTAACAAAGGGAGGGACATGCAAAATTATAATCGGAATAATAATAATAATATTGAATGTCTTGATCTTGAAATGCTTGAACTATTCTAAAACAATACTTTTTATTCTTCTTCCATTGTTCAAATTTCTTTTCTTAAGTTTAAAGAAGATTGGATTACTTTTAAAGAAAATGCTTAAAAATGTGACTGGATCAATAATGCCAATAATTTTTAGTAGAACTGAAGCATTGAAATGAGCAACAAATATCCAATACCTCCTGGATTCTTATAACCTTTTAAAGAAAGACTAGTTTTCAGTTACCAAGTGGCAGTCAATTAAGTCACAGTGTAAAATGTTACTTCCTTCCAATTTATACTAATTCATTTTTATTCAATATTTACTGACCCAGCATGGAAAATAAGAGCTCTACTGAAATACATTATTTTTAGATAGCAATGGATCTCTCTCTTTTCTCTCTTTCTTTTCTCTTTTTTTCTCTCTCTTTTCTTTCTCTTTCTCTCTCTCTTTCTCTCTTCTCTTTCTTTCTTTCTCTCTCTTTTTCTCTCTCTTTCTCTCTCTTTTCTCTCTCTCTTCTCTCTTTCTCTTTCTCTCTCTTTTCTCTCTCTTCTCTCTCTCTTTTCTCTCTCTCTCTCTCTCTTCTTCTTCTTCTCTCTCTCTCTCTCTTTCTCTCTCTTTTTCTTCTCTCTCCTCTTTTCTAACTCTCTCTCTTTTTTTTTTTTTTTCTCCAACTCCTTTGAAACCACTCAGTGTATTTTATTCATATCATATATATATATATATATATATAAAACTTCTTTTCTTTTTTTTTTTTTTTTTGATAACTTCTCCTTTTTACAATTTCTGAAGAATTCAATTTTTAACTTTACTAAAATTGTGTATATATTCATCTGAATTTCTGGAAAGATGAGTTACCATTATTTACATATGGACTAATATCCACATCTTTGTTGTTAGTATCACAATGTTTTGGCTGTTGTGTTCTTCAGATGTCTGTCAGACCATGTAAACTTCAGTTGGAAATTTTCTGAAGACAAACATCTAGAAAAAGCTAGAGACCCAACATTGTGATAATAACAACAAAGATGAGGACATTAGTCTAAATGTAAATAATGCAAATATTGTCTACATAATCTATAAGGATGGATCAATAAATTCATAGCCTGGTATATAGCTATTAACTGTTTTTTGATCTGAAATTTTCATTGTATAATGTTTAGTATTTACTAAATCACAATTAAATGTTACTCTACCATGAGGCAAATTTAAACAGTTAAAAATAAGTCTTTTGCTACTCCTCTTAGTGAGAATAAGGCAAGCATACCTTAGTGGACATTGGAAAGAAGATACTGACATGTATCTCCCTGCTTCTGACGCAATGTTGATTTGGTATTTTTTGCTGACTGAGTTGTGTTTGGGGTAGCAAGATATTTTTGAAGATCACTAGAAGTTTACAGTATTTACATTATTCGGACTTGAGGACATCTGGGTATGAATTTCTGGGTATTATAAACCTATGACACAGTGGATAAAGGCATTGGTTAGATCCAGTGACAGACCCAAAGAGTGTGAGTTCAATACCAAATTAAGGCAGTAGAAACTTTCAGAGGGAAAATTTACAGGAGATAACTGATAACCGACATCCATCAAACATGGCATCGTGGAACTAGAACAGTCTACCCCAGTGAGAAGCGAAATAAAGGGTTCAGTTTGACATTCCAACCACCTGAAGAAGGCTGGAACGTACAACGGCTGAAACGTTGTGATAAATATGGCGACAAAGATGAGGGCAATAGTCCAAATAATATAAATACTATACATAATACTTCATGTCGGAAATATAGACAGACTCACTAGAAGTTTATTGGTAGGAATAGAAACATAGTACTTTAGTAGTTTATTTTATTGACTTATTTTTCTTTTTTTATATATTTATAGATTTTGTAAGCTTTTCTTCTTGCATTAAGAATGAAATGTGAATAGTAAAGGATTCTAATGATTTTTTGGGGGGATGGGGAGTGTAAATGTAAAGCCAGGATTGATAGACAATCTAGATTACCTGCAATGTCAAAAGAAATATCTAAGTGAAAAATCTAGATATTATTTTACTTAGGAACACAAGAAACCTCTTGAGATGACCAATTAAATTGCTTAGTATCACTGAGGAACAAAACTGGTTATAATTTTGGCTTTAAAAATGCAATACAACTTTTTACAGAGAAAATACCTAAAAGGAATATTCGCCAATATTCATAAAAATGTACTTAAAGAATGCAAGATGCATATATTTGCAGATTTTAAATGAAAAATGTTCAAACCCTTGTTCTGAACTGATTGACCTTAACATTACTTCAGCAATGATGTTTGTGATATGCTTTCCTTGAGTTGAGCAGGAAAAATCAGTCATGTGCAAAGTCATCGTACCAGAACACCAATCAACTACAAAATGTCATTAAATACCAACAATTCATGTCACATTTGTGTAAAAGTTTCAAAATTATCGGGTGGGTTGAAAAGACACAAAAAAAATATGATATAATGACACCATATTTTATGGATGGAACACAATGGCTGAAAGAAAAAGGAATAATCACTAAGCTTTGTTCTCAGATAAACTTTTATATCACTGAGACATGCACAAAACTATGTATACATAATTACATATGTCTCCTGCAGAGAAAAATATGTCTACACGTCAAGCAGAATGAAAGGAGAATAAAAAGATAGTGTCTTAGATATAATATGGAGATTCTTATGTTTCTGGAGAAGACATGTTTAGGACTCCAGATTTAAATGGGATGGAGTTTCTTATATCTAGGGAAGATATATTCCCAAAAGGAAATGGCACAATGGTCTTGTAAGCTGCTGGTGGATGCAGATTTAGCCATGGCCCGGGCTAAAAAAAAACAAAAAAAAAACTGCTTGCTTTGGCTACTGTAAACCGGATGAAAGAATGACCACTTTCATCACTGTGTAAAGTGACATCACTAAACAACCATCACATGACTATCTCGACCAATGGGAAGTAATCACTTTTTGTCTCCCTTCAAGATAATATTAAAGAAAGGAAATATTAAGAAAGAAAACAACGGAGAAAAGAAAGTGATAATATTGATGAAGAAAGAAAGAGAAGGAAATATTAAGAAGGTAAAAAAAATTAGCTAAGTCATATACACAATTCTGTCTCTGCATTTACATGTGTCCCACCCAGAGAAAAATATAAGGCATATCTACATAGCAAGGAGAGTGAAAGAACAAAAAAAGATAAGGATTTCCATATAATATGGAAATTCATCTGTGTTTCTTTGTGTATGACTCCAGATTTTATTTGCTTTTGGTTTATTTTGCTTTAATCATAGCAAGATCAATTGGTCATTTAATGCTGACAAGATTTTCACATGAATAAAATATGTATTCTTTGTAAGAAATCAATTTGTAGATCAGGTTTCAATGACATATTTTTGTAAAGAGGGTTTTTGTTAAGAGTCAAATCTGTTGCTGGTAATAATATTTTTTTTTTTTTTTAATGCTGTCATTAAAACCTATTTTTACACTTTCATAGTGTTTTGGCCCCAGTTTGGGTGTTAACTATTTACCCATAGTTGGGACCTTAACAGGTCCTACCACCCCAGGTCAGGGTGAACTTGCTGCTGGATGTAATTTATCATACATAAGACTTCAGATTCAAGTGACTGAATTCATCTATGTCCCAAGTGAGGACATATTCCATGAACTGGAAACTGATTCTTCAATTTTTCCAAATTGAGGACTGCAAACCAGGAATTGTTTCTTTCTATCTCTGAAGGTGTATTCCCAAAGGAAAACAGTGAAACCATTCATTTTCACTTTCTTCAAACAATTTTTTTAATTAAAATATCTTTAAGTTAAGACAGACACCAAGATCCTGATTTGCTGTTTCGTCCAATTGTTTGTAGAGTAATTATTTATATTTCAGCTTTCTTTAAACAGACAATATTTTAAATATTCAAAAAATATTTTCTGGCATATTTTTTAATATGCCAGAAAATATTTTTTGAATATTTAAAATATTGTTTAATCTGATTTAAAAATTTAATTAAATTTTGAATATTTAAAATATTAAGTTAATCTGATTTAAAAATTAAGTGAATAAAATTTTAAAATACGAGTTTTTCATACAGTGAGTATTTTTATTTCAATTTTCTTCAAACTGACAATATTTTAGCATCTGTCTATATTTCTGAGATGACGTATTATGTACATTATTTGGACTATTGTACTCATCTTTGTTGCCATATTTATTACAACGTTTCGGCCGTTGTACGCTCCTGCCTTCTTCAGGTGGTTGTTCTAGAGCAGTCTACCCCAGTGAGCAAAATAAAGGGTTATGTTCAACATTCCAACCACCTGAAGGCCAGAGTGTACAACAGATGAAACATTGTAATAAATATGGCTATAAAGATGAGGACAATAGTCCGAATAATGTAAATAATGTAGACACTATTTTAATGTTGAAATACCCTGACCTATCTTTTAGACTTGCCTTTGACCCAAAGTGTCACCGGGGTCATCAAATAAAGAATTAAATATGAAAAAAATGTTTTATTTATAAACATTTACTAAATTATTAAAATATGTCAACCAATTTACCATTTTATAAAGTTTGAATCAATTGGTAATTAGCCAATGATAAATAGTGTTAATAAACACTTTTAAATAATAAGTGCCTATTGTTTTTGTTATTTATCACATAGAAAATTAAATTTCCTTTCATATATTTAATTACAATTCTACTCATCACTTTTTCAAACAATAAACATGAAGAGTGAAGGTAGTTAAAATAAGTGGTGTCATGGGAAAAAAACAATCTTAACATTGTTTTATCACAAAGGTCGATGTTTGCCTGTTTTTCTTTGAACAATTTAATACACTGAGATTAATCATTTCTTTTTTGCTAATAGTAATCTGAATAAATTAAAAGCTGTTCAACAAGTAGATAAATACTTGAAATATTTTCTAAAATTAAAGTGTAGAGAGGGTAGAGTGTATTCAATGGCTAAACTATAAATGTACAGAATGACAATCATACTTAAAAGAAGCCATATTCATACATTCTTTCAATTTTGAATGTCATTGTTTGAGTTATCGAATTGTTTTGTTTTTTATTGCCAACATCCTCTCTCAGCTAACCCAGTCTATAGCATTCCCTAGGTGTACAATCCATATGGGAGAAGGAGTAGACAGTCTGTTTCATCTGCTAGAATGAACACTATATAGTCATCAGTTGCCAATTATTTACTACTGTCTTAATAGTAGATCCAGCAAAGTAAAACTGCAGCCTCTCCTTCAAATCATTTCAAATGAGTTGTTAACTGGGGAAAGAAATGGCATGTTAATTTTAACACCACCAAAATGAAACTGGCACTTGATCTCTTAGCCCAAAGTTCAGCAATCTATGGCATATGTAGCACATCAAGCAATTTCCAATGCCACACAGCTACAAATGGCATCACAAAGTCCGAACCAATAACTGCTGCAGAGCAAAGAAAACTTTTAAAAACACTTTATTTTTATTAATGCAGTTTATTATTGTATATATTACTATATAAAATATATTGTAGAACATTTATATTGACCTTGACTTGTATAAAGATACGTATGCTGGTGGCAAATTGAATGATTTTAAAACACTAAGTCATCACATTGTCAGCAAAAGGTTGCTGACCCCTGTCTTAGCCATTATGCTTTCAACATGCTCAAATCCATCCTATA